CCAGGCAACAACCACCACGACCACAACAATAGCAACGCGGCAGACAGCAGGCCCGCGTCTTTGCAGTTGACCAGAGGGAGGCCGACCAGCACCCAGGTACCATGTCCGGGATGATTATTCTTAATAATGTGCCTGTTTATGCCTTATTTGATACCGGAGCGACCCATTCTTTTATATCACGTCGATGTCTCGAAGCTATTGGGGTTCGTTCCACTACCGCTGTCGATCCTCTCGAGGTGAGTTTAGCCTCGGGAAGAAAGATAGTGACTGACGCTAGAGCCATCGATCTCAGCCTTTCCATCGGCGGCCGTATTATGAGTACTGATACTTATGTTATCGAGATGAGGGATTTTGACCTCATACTCGGTATGGATTGGCTAACTCGTTTTCACGCAGATATTCGATGTTTCGACCGGGAGATTACTCTTTATCTTCCGGGAGATGATCAGATCACTTATTACGGCTCCAGGACTCATACTCTGCCACATGTTATTTCTATGGCAAAAGCCAGAAAGATTCTTCGACGGGGTGATTGCCAGGGTTATCTTGTGAGCCTCGTTGGAGATGAGCCAAAGGCACGTTCACCTCATGACATTCCTATCGTTCGTGAGTTCGTGGACGTGTTTCTAGACCAGCTTCCCGGAGGTCCACCTAGCCGACAGGTGGAATTTTCTATTGATCTTATCCCTGGAGCCGAAACCGTTTCAAAGGCACCGTACAGAATGGCGCCTAAAGAATTGCAGGAATTAAAGACCCAAATTCAAGAGTTGTTGAATCTCGGTTTTATACGACCACGCGTTTCTCCTTGGGGAGCACCAGTCCTTTTTGTCAAGAAGAAGGACGGATCCATGCGTATGTGTATCGACTACCGGGATCTTAACCGGTTGATGATCAAGAATAAATACCCGCTTCCCAGGATTGATGATTTATTTGATCAGCTGAGGGGTGCCTGCGTGTTTTCCAAGATTGATTTGCGTTCAGGCTACCATCAGCTGAAAATCAAGGAGTCAGACATACCCAAGACAGCTTTTCGTACGAGATACGGTCACTTCGAGTTTGTGGTTATGCCGTTTGGCCTCAGTAATGCCCTGGCAGTATTCATGGACATGATGAACCGTGTATTTCATCCTTTTCTCGACCAGTTCGTTATTGTCTTCATCGATGATATTCTTATTTATCCTAAGAGTCAGAAGGAGCACGAGGAGCACCTGAGGGTCGTTCTTTCGACCCTTAGACGCGAGAAGTTATATGCAAAGTTCTCCAAGTGCGAATTTTGGCTACAACGAGTGGCTTTTCTTGGTCACATTATTACTTCAGCACGTATTGAAGTTGATCCTTCCAAAATTGCCGCAGCCCAGAATTGGTCAGCACCGAAGAATCCGTCCGAGGTTCGTAGTTTCCTCGGCCTTGCAGGTTATTATCGCAGATTTATTGAGGGGTTCTCGAAGATTGTCCTCCCTTTATCTCAGCTGACGAGGAAGTCTGTAAAGTTTGAATGGACAGACCATTGTGAGTCGAGTTTTCAGGAGCTAAAAAGGAGGCTTACGACGGCACCAGTGTTGACTATTCCAGATCCTTCTCGGAGCTTCACCATCTATAGTGATTCTTCGAGGCAGGGTTTGGGATGTTTACTTATGCAAGATGGCCAGGTCGTTGCTTTTGCGTCACGCCAGCTTAAAACCCATGAACAGAACTATCCGAAGCACGACTTGGAATTAGCTGCAGTTGTTCATGCCCTTAAGATTTGGCGACACTATCTATACGGCGGTCAATGCGAAATCTTTACTGATCATAAGAGCTTACAGTATATCTTTACTCAGAAGGAGCTCAACATGAGACAGCGCCATTGGTTAGAGCTCGTCAAGGATTACGATTGTACGATCCAATACCATCTGGGAAAGGCGAATGTTGTTGCTGATGCCCTAAGCCGCAAGGTGAAGGGTGACTTGACGTATGTGGTTACTCAGCAGAGTCAGTTGATACGAGAGTTTGCCCGGATACGGATTCAGGTGATTGATGCACTTCCTACCGCCAGTACGGGGAGTGTGAGTTCCATGCAGGTTCAGTCGACGATGAGGGAAAGAATCCGGCAAGAGCAGGCTTCAGATGAGTTTATTCGTACGATTGATGCCAAGGTTCTTGCCGGAGGCATCGAGGGTTTTCACCGAGGCACTGATGGGGCCTTGGAGTTTCGTGGCAGGATTGTGGTGCCAAAAGTCGAACCATTGAGGAAGGAGATTTTATCTGAGTCTCATACCGCACCCTATCTAGCCCATCCAGGAAGTACAAAGATGTATCATGACCTGAAAGGGTCGTTTTGGTGGAGAGGATTGAAGAAAGACGTGGCCGACTTTGTAAGAA